CTGCTGAACTGAATCCTGGAGACCAGCTAAGGAGCATCACCTCTTCAGCGGTGTTTGAAATGCAGCTGTGTAAAACACAGCTTTCTGGAGTTCATGTTGCAAGCATGTATGCCCCAATGTACTGAGGAAACTGGGGGGCTGTGTCTTATGTATTTGTCTGTTCTGGTTTGGGTTTTGTTTGAGGGTTTTTTAAGAGTACCCTCTTTTCACAGCCACTGGGTTACTATGTAAGGGCTCAGTTCAGTGAATCTGTTACTTGGTATTGGAGTGGGGGAAAAATTGACCTGCTTTGATTTTTAAATGAGACTTGGCCAAGTGTAACCCACAAGATAATTATGGCCAACAGTGCTCTAGAGACACTTGCAGCTGGCTTTTGTCTCTAATATGAACATACATCTGTGGCAACTTACTCGCTTATATTGAGACAGGGCGTTGTGGTCTCTGTAGGCTTTGCCTGTGTATTAAAGATGATGGAAGTCCTTTCTGTTTACTGTCTGCACTGTGACCACATATCAGGCATGTTTTAGTTCTGTCAGCTGTAATGAGGTATGTGCCATGAGGATTTATACGTGTGCTGTAGCTGGATCAAAACAGTTTACATTTTAGTGATGAGTTTTCTGGTATCCTGCAAAAGAGTATTGTCTTCTTTAATTAAAATCTTTAGTTTCTTCTACTGCTTTCCAGGACACTCCATTTTTAACCAACTGTATCTCTAAGCAGCAGGTCCAATGGAGAGAGTAGAAAAAGGAGAAGAAGGATATGACTAGGCAGCCTTGCCAGTTCCAACTCTTCCAAATGCTACCACCAGCAACTGCTCAACATCACATTGCAGGAAAGCTCCATACAGTGCCAAGAAGTTTCTTCTTGAGTTTCTTCCAGCAAGGATCTCCCATGCTGTGTATTCTTCACTAATTCAGTCCACACAGCATGGGAGCACTAGCACAGCTCATATCTGCCTGCTCGGTGAAATAAGGGTAACTGCAAACCCCACCTGCAGCTCCACTCCCAGAGAAGGGGAAGGGGCAGCAGTCCTTACTCACACATGGCTGAGCATTTTCTGGACTTCAGGGAGCAAAGCCTCCTTTGGAGGGCTTCAGCTGATCCTGGCTGTAGCAGAATGGCTCTGGACCTGCCTTGGCTCTCCCTCTGTGCAACCTCCACTCCCCCTTCCAGTCTGTCATTGCCCTCTCTAGGACCAGGGATTTCTCAGTGAAGCCCTGGCCCCCATTCCTGATGGCTCTGTATGTAGTCACTGCAAGTGAGAACAGTGGGGCTGGTACTCCTCAGGTCAGCAGCCCCTTTAGATCCAACTGGCAGCACTTCAGGAGCAGTGAGCGGCACTCCAGTTTACCATGAAGTGAGTGAACATGGTGCTGAGCAACTCTGGTGTCTCATTCCGTGTCCAGGGAAGACATTGTGAGGAAGGGCCTCTTTTTCTTGGGAAACCAATATTCCTGTTGCAGAACTTTGAGGAAGTACCAAAACAGTTCAGGTGGTGAAAACTCTGCTCCCAAAGCTGAGTTATCTGTGGGCTGTGCACCAGGATGCTATAATCTCACCAGCTTGTTACAGGTATAGACAGGAACCCAGCCACAATCAGCTGCTGGTTTTGCCAGGGGTTGAGTAATGAAATGTTCTGGCACAACTGGAAACACCAGTAAATCTTGATGTAAATCTGCACAGACACCAGCTTGAACACAAGAAAACCTGACCCTGTGGAAATATTTTCCTTCAGTCATTTTGCTACACCTCTACCTTCTGATTCCCATCAGCAGAACTGGGGTAGTGAAGCACAGGACATGATAGCTGTTGCCCAAAGAGAAAGCAGCCAGCAGGGGAATAGAAGGGGAAAGAGGAATAACTCTCATTCTCTTCTTCAGAATCTGAAAAAATTAAGTATTCCTTTCAGTCTGCAGAAGATCCATTAGAACCAGGAATTTCCTAGTGGAAATTTATGCTCCTTTAAAGCCCACCTCACCTATTTTCCTTTAGTTGAACGGCTATTCTGTATTACCTCTTGTTCAAAACCACCAAAATAGCAGGGGAGCTTTGCTCAACCACTTGGCTTTTTGCTCAAGCCTAGTTTGCTGTCCTAGGCTACTGTGTAACTGTCCCGGGTACCCATTTGCTGACCACTGGATGTGCAGATCTTCTCTCCTGTGCCATAAAGAAACCTTACACCGATGCACTCACGAGTAGCAAACACTTGTGCACGTGAAAAATGTCTGAAAGTGATTATAAGTTGCTGTGGTCATGCTGCTGAGCTGGGCAATACCTTTCAAACTTAGGGTCCTATGTCTTTGATGGCCCTGGCACTGTTTTGTCTCTTGTCACCTTGTACACATACAATATTTTCTCTGCCCTCTGAAAGCCTGATATTTTTAACATGTTTGTTAGTGCTAGTAGGCTTTCTCTTCCCATCATACTTAAAACTGTCACTCTGTCTCCTACAAGAGATGCATTTTTTCCCCTCAAAATTCAAAGGTCCCTGTTAAATCCAAACTATTGTTTCATATATATTTAATAGGGCCATTAGAGGAATGTTTTTAAACTGATATAGGGGAGATTTAGATTAGATTTTAGGAAGAAGTTCTTCCCTGTGAGGGTGCTGAGGCGCTGGCACAGGGTGCCCAGAGAAGCTGTGGCTGCCCCATCCCTGGCAGTGGTCAAAGCCAGGCTGGACACAGGGGCTTGGAGCAACCTGCTCTAGTGGAAGGTGTCCCTGCCCGTGGCAGGGGGTTGGAACTGGATGAGCTTTAAGGTCCCTTCCAACACAAACCATTTCGTGACTCTATCAGAACATGCATTCATCCTTCTTGCTGTCCACCTTATTGTGATTTATTCCCTGTACTACATCACGTGGCTGTTTCTTGCTTTGTGACTGCACTGAAAGCTGTCTGAGGCAAAGACATTATCGTGCCAGTACACTGGAAGGTGGCCATCACACCTGCAGGTGCTGTGAACTTGTTAAATAAAGATCACAGTGTAAAATACTCTGGCCTGTTGCTCCAGTTTCAAGCATACTGTTTGTTCTTATGCATAGGTTTGCAGTTTAATCTCCATGTAGATACCCCTTAACCTTATAACTGCAGCTTGCTGTTCCAACTGTGACTTTGTAGTGATGGGGAGAGGCAGAGATGGTATTTTCAAGGCCTTTAAACTCCTGAATTTTAAGAAGTGACTTGAAACTTAAGAAAAAGAGTTCCAGTCATGGAGAAAGGAAAAGCAGATACCTGCATATATTCTATTTCTTACATTGGTCTGCCTACATTTTGCTTTCCTGATAGTCAAGGCTGTTATCACTTGATTTCTCCTCTGAACCATGCACTTGCTGAAAACCTACTAATCTATCAGCTTGCCTTCATTAGCATGAGCGCTGGTTGATGTATAAATCCAAGGAAGTGATACTGCACTTTTCTGGTCATTTAAGTGACAAAACTGTAGCTTGTTCTCTTTGTCAGCAGACTTTCAAAATGAAACAGGACAGGCAACTTTCTTGTTATTCTTTATATAGCTTCACCCTTCTTTTAGAGTCCAAATCAACTAGAAAGACTGCTGGTTGGTGATGCAAGTTGGACTGTTCCATAGGGTAAGCAGGACACAGGTTTCAAGGGAGGCCAGTGTTCAGGTTCTTGTGTTGGGGTGGGAGGATCTGAATAATGTGTGTGTGCACATTAAAAGGAGAACTTAACACTTCATGTTCATGTTCAGGCCAACAAATGGTAGCCTCAGCCCCGAGCTACATATAACTATTGGATGTTTTCTAAGCACCGATGCTATATTCTTTCTTTCTTTCTTTCTTTCTTTCTTTCTTTCTTTCTTCCTTTCTTCCTTTCTTCCTTTCTTCCTTTCTTCCTTTCTTCCTTTCTTCCTTTCCTTCTTTCTTTCTTTCTTTCTTTCTTTCTTTCTTTCCTTCTTTCCTTCTTTCCTTCTTTCCTTCTTTCCTTCTTTCTTCCTTCCTTCCTTCTTTCCTTCCTTCCTTCCTTCCTTCCTTCCTTCCTTCCTTCCTCTTTCTTTCTTTCTTTCTTTCAAAAAAGGAAAGGATTAAAACTTTATTTTTTACACTATTCCTTCATTTTATTCCCAAACTCCATAAAATACTTGGCTATGCAAAAGGTAGTAGGTACCACTGATGGAGAAATGAAGGAATCCCATCACTGGGGTATTTTGGCTCTGTGAAGTGTCGGTGGTTGCATTTCAGCAGTCAGGTTTTTGTGTGAATTGTTAGAGAAAGTACGGACAAAACACAGCTTCTGTTTAGCTTTAAGTGCAATGAATTTTTATGGCATGACATTTTGATGTGCATATTTGTCTAAGAGGCTTTTCTGCAACAGAGAAGGTGTAGGAGCTTTTCTGTGTAACAGAACTATGTCTAGTCCAAAGTAGTGGAAAGATCTGCTAACATAAATTACATCTGGACTAACCTTTGATCAAACCAATGTTCAATAAGACAAACAATACTGACAAGATCTGTCATTTTGTGTGGCTTATGCACTGAGCTTGGTGAAACTTAGCATTCTCCTTTGCATAAATCCCAACAGACTTCAATGTTCCCAGTGATCCCAGGTTTAGTGAGGTTGTATCTATTCAGCTCTCGACCGCAACCTAAAAAGATGACCATGATTTCACTCTGAAACTATTTCAATTTAACATAGGGGCTGGGGAGAGACAAACTGTGGGACCAGAGGAAAAGTCACCAGCATTTGTGAATGCTTATAGTCAAGGCTTTCATTGGAAGCCATCCATAGTGCTGTAAGTTGACTTTCAAAGCTCTGGGCATTGGGAGTTATTTCTCTTCTCCAGTTAAAGAGAACCTCATCCATGCAGTAAATTTGATACACATGGTTTCTTGCCTAAGCAGCTCTTACATTCATCCTGGACTACATATACACTGTAATAAAGTATCTGGCTTATGAAAAGTATCTGGTTTCAGCCAACAGCACTGAATATAACTGATGCACA